CTGCAGCCACCCTCGTAAATCTCCAGATTTAAATCTTCCTTAATTATATTTAGTAAGAAACTGAATGTAAAAATCAACAGCACCATGGTACACCAGACTCCAGCTGACGCTACTAATCCCAGCCCATCCACTACTTTCCGAACTATCTTGCTGCTTCCAAAGTCACGTAACTTTCTCTTACAAAAGAAATTCCACACATATACAGCAAGTTGACTTTCCTTTTCATCAGGAATTGGTGAAACAACTGGAAAACCTCTTCCTAGTAAAACAAGTCTAAATGAGAGCCACAACAAGCTGTGGCTCAGAGACTGCAGCTTCACAGGGTACCTCCAACTACAAATTACACTGTGGAATGCTTTCTTAATCTATGATGTCATTTTTTTAGACTTATTTTGTATGTATGAGTATTTTGCCGGAGCACACGTGTGTGTGTGTACGTGTGTGCACCGTGTGCAGGTCTGTGCCCTTCAGAGGTCAGAAGAGGGCTAGGACTAGAATTACAGCTATGAGCTGCCATGTGGGTGCTGGGAACCTCGGCACCAAGTGCTCTCAGCTGTTGAGCCCATTCTCCAGGCCCTACGTCACTTTTTCACTAAAAATCTCAGGTGTCTGGTATTTCCAAATGTGTGCCACAGCTGGTTTTGCTATTATTAGTGCTTGGCAAAAATAATAAAATTTAAATGGCTCTGACATAAGGAACCCAATACACCATGCTTTGCATTTCAGCTAAGCAGTCGGAATGTCCTCTGTGGCTTTTCTTCCTAATCCAAATGCTGACTAGTTCAAACACCTGTCACGTTTTCCTGTGACAGTCGCTACTGCTTACAGTTCCAACTCAAATGCTGGTACTGTCATAATTGTTTAAATTATCATCATCCTGACAAAATTGTGGGTACCTTAGGAGAAAAGGCTGGCCCCTAATCAGCTTAGAACTCATCAATTTTTCTGGTGAGTGTATCATAAAAATGAATCCCAGGGTCTCTCAAAGACTTATCACCAAGAATGATTTGAAAGCCGTATTAAATCATATGGGGCCTAAACGACTGCACAGTCTAGAAAATAAACTGACTTTCCAGGTTAAACAGCAAACTGAAGTCATATCTCAATCTAGAAATTCAGTTTTGGAGATAGTCACCTCTGACCCAGAGCAAACCTCACCCAGCACTTCCCAATTCCTTATTTTCTCCAACTTCTTGAAAATGCTTCATTCATGATAAAAGTATTTGGTAAATCATTTACAATTTGAGCAAAAGCAACTGGAATGCTATGCCCTCAACTTTAAGTAGGATTATAACAGAAGTTACTACGTTCACTGCTATGAGCTCGGAACTCACTGTGCAACCCCTCAGAAGAGGAGCTGAGCTCTAGGTCTAAGTAGAGCCTGTCCCTACCAAAAAAATAATTTTGTTTAAAGCTGCAAGATTCCTATTTTCAATCCTTCATATTAAGCAAACTGCTTACGAGCTTGCAGCCAGCAGTAAACAGCATCTCTTCAAGGAGTGACTGAGGACAGAAATGAACACACATCAACACTTACCTACTTCTTAGGCTCTCTGGAAACTTTCTATGGCGGGGCGGGGGGAGGGGGGGATGACGACGACAGCTTATCTCATTTTTAAGAGAGCAAGAAAAAGGCATGCCTCAAGCTCGTGTGCATCAGACGAGGAAAACTGTCCCACTAAGCTCCTTAGTCTTGGCTGCTCCTTCCAGAAAGGGGGAAGAACACATGTCCACAATCCTAGCACTAGCGGGGGCAGGAGGCCAGCCTGGAATACTTCCCCAATTTCAAGCCAGCTAGGGACACACAGCAGAAGGTGGAGGGAGGCCAAAATGAGGCTGGTGGAGCTCTTCCCTTCACTGACTGCAGTGGGACAACGTCCCACAGGTAACACCTACACACTAGCTAAAGACAGGTGATGCACAGACCAACTCACACCCCCAGACACGTCCAAATCCACCTAAAATAAAATGCACATGATCCAATTTAGGGTGTGAACAACCAAGAGACAAATCAACTGACTCTCACTTGTGGTCCTGAGCAAGGAATCCTAAATTCCAAACTCTCAGGCATCCTTCATCCCTTAATCTCGTTCCTAAAACTAAGATCCTGTACTAGGGTATAACAACCATGAGTACATTTCAGACTCGCAGCACTCTGTGAACCTAAATCACTTTTAGGCTTTTAAAGATTTGAAACTCTGGGGTCTGGAGAGCTGTTTTCGAAGAGGACCCACATCTGGCAACTCACTGCCACCCGTAATCCAACTCCAGCAGATTCAGTATCTTCTGGAGCTGCAGGAACCTGCACCACAGACCTACACCCACACATACATGGGCCTTTTAAAAAACCAGGCCAAAAAGAAAAAAGGCTTTAAACTATTAGCATCCTTAAAGATCTTCCAAGTCCATCAAGATGGCTCAGATGGTAAAAGCACTCACAGCCAGTTTGATCCCCAACTCACCCATTTGGTAGGAGCAGACCCGCACAAAACGTCCTGACCTCCACAGGTAGTGAGCGCCCTGTGAAAGGCAGACTTACACACATACACACACAAAATAAACGTAAAGATCTCCCAAACTGTCTTTTAACTAATGACCACTTTAGAATTTACAGATTCTGGGGCTGGAGAGACGGCTCAGTGGTTAAGAGCATTGCCTGCTCTTCCAAAGGTCCTGAGTTCAATTCCCAGCAACCACATGGTGGCTCACAAACATCTGTAATAAGGTCTGGTGCCCTCTTCTGGCCTGCAGGCATACACACAGACTATTGTATGCATAACAAATAAATATTTAGAATTTACAGATTCTGAAATGCAAGGAATTGAGTCAATTTCATCTTTGAAGTTGGAGTCTATTCAAACATAAAACATAACCACCACCTCCTGTCAACTAGCTTCAAGTACTCCCTTCAGATTCTCACAGGTGACCCCAACAGCTGTCCATCCATTCCAGAGCTCCCCCTACAGCCAGGGAAACACAGGAAGTGCTTAAAAATGTTTCCCTTTTCCTGGCATACTATTCAACTGTTAGTGTACCATGAGTCGTGGGTTCTTTTCCAACAGCAAATTTGTCCTCCACTACTTTTTATGTCACCTTTTCCAAGGTAAAAAATGACAACCTTGTGTGACAATCTTCCCCAATTCCTACCAGCTAACTCAAAATCTTTTCACCAAAAATGAGCAAACGTAGATAGCACATATCGATAGCTTTACACCATTTCCTGTAACTTCGAGGTACACCCCCCCCAAAAAAACTGCATTAAATCTTCCAAGTAGTCTTGTGAGTGAAAAGTTCAAGCAGAAATTTACGAAAGAATTTCATCCCATTTTTTTACTTCCATGTGCAGACCCTTAGCCATTATAGAGGTGCTAAATATCTGAACCAAGCATCAGCCACCATCCATTAGAGTAACTGAGCAAACTAATCTACCATCCACGTAATTACAGATCTTAGAAATTACACCATGACAACATGAAGGGAGGGCTCTCAATGTTGAAATATTACCACCATACATAAGGCTTTGGGCTTTCAAACTCCGAGTCACAAAAGCTTACCATAGCATTAAACCCAGAAAGTTAACTGGTACTGAACCCACCCACCAGATTATACATACTCTCACTCAATCATGTAAAGAATTGAATTCTTTATTTGTGATATCCATAAACGTTGCTATTCTATGTTTCTATCCAGGAAGGCAATTTTCTCCTATTATCAGGTGGGTTTTTTTTGTTTTTTTCTTGTTTATAAACAACAACTTGAACTCTATTGCATGAAGGGCTACAAATACACGTTAACCAAGCAGAATACATATATTTTGTTTTACAATTTGCACCTAAAACCCCAGTACACATAGCTGCTTCAGTAGCTGTCAGAGCAGTTTGGGGCTACTGCCCGAGCTATGCATAGCAGTTTACATTTTCAAATCTCCTGTAGAAAGAGACTGATCAGGGCTGTTGACCACATTCCTGTGCAGACCGTCTCAGTCACACGGAAATGTGGAACTTTCAAGTCTGCACATTTCCGATGGCAAACTGCTAAATCTGATGAAATTGTCCTCAACAAATCATGTCTTTAACCAACTGTCTTGCAGCTATACTGCCACTCAACCAGTAGATGGCGCTACACAGGCTGGACTTAAAAGGACAAAGTTCAGATATAGGAAAAAAAACATTTTTAAACCTGCTCCGGGAAAAAAAAAAAATCACCTAGTGTTCGGGTAAACATAACCCTTATTTGTAACCATTCATTACAGACAAACCGATAAGGATGAAACTAAGCCATCTAAAATAGTTTTAAACAGTTTTATATGAATGAGAACACATGCTTAAACACAAACTATTTCCTTTAAAACTACACAGTACATATTCTGAAGTAAATTCTCATAGAAAGAAGTGACCAACCATGTCAAGATAGGCTTACTCGCTTATTACAAGGCGATGGATGGATGCACAGAAACTTTAAACAGCCACATCCACCACTTCAAAAAGTTTTGACTCTAAGGGGTAAAGTCAACACATCACTAGCTGGGCAACGGGAAGAAAAAAACAACCCACAAGACCTCCTTTTAAGTTTCTCAAAGTACACATCAAAAACTAACAAAAATATCCTTGAAAACGGTAAGGGGTGGATCCTAGGAAAAAAAAATGTTAGACATGTACGGTCAAACACAATGATTTATTAAAAATAAAACGTAAAAATGATTTTTTTACATATGCTTCCAAATTCCAGGCATGGGATCCAAGTAGGTTTCATAGAAAACGCTGTAGCCAGGTATCAAGTCCTTACAACAAAAGTAAACTACCCCCCCGCCCAACCCCCGCCCAGGTTTTGCTACAGAATCAGCAAGTTCACTCCCTCCCACCCCCACCCCCACCCCCCAAAAAAAACACAAATTAAAACAAGACATTTTTGCTAGTATAAAAACGACCAAGGTCCAAGTAATAATAAAAAAATAGAGTCCATCAATGACTGTAACACAAAAATGTGTGTGTGGGGCCGAGTCCACCTTCAGGGGGAGACAGGCAGGCAGACGGGGGGTGTCCCCCCCGGGTAAGCGGCTCCCCCAAGGGCACCTGGGGCGGGCGCGGAGGGGAGAAGCGCCGCCGCCGCCGCCCGGCATCCGCAAGCCGGCTTCTAGAACGAGCCTCCGCCGTAGCCGCCGCCGCCGTAGCCGCCTCTGTACGGTCCACTGTTGCTGCGGCCGCCCCAGCTGCCGCCGCCGCCGCCGCCGCTCTTCATCGGCCCGTACGAGGACTGGTGCTGGCTGTAGCTGCCGAAGCCGCCGAAGCCGTTGCCGTAGTCGCTGCCGCCGTACGAGCCGCCGCCGCCGCCGCCCCCGTAGGCGCCGTAGCCCCCGTAACCGCCGTAGCTGTTGTAGCCGCCGCCGCCGCCCTTGGCCAGCCCGTTCTGGTCTCGGCCGCCGCCGCCGCGGCCCCGGCCGCCGCCGCGCCCGCCCCGCGCCGCCCGCGCGCCCCCGCCGCCCGCGTGGATATCCTCCTTGGGCACCGCCTTCTTCACCTCCACGCGGTGGCCCTGGATCGGGTGGAACTTGACCACCGCCGCCTTGTCGGCCGCGTCGTGGCTCTGGAAGTAGACGAAGCCGAAGCCGCGCTTCTTGCCCGACTGCTTGTCGGCGATGATCTCCGCCTTCTCCACGGCGCCGAACTGCGAGAAGTGCTCGATCAGGTCGCCCTCCGCCACGTCGCCCTTGAGGCCGCCCACGAACAGCTTCTTCACCTTGGCGTGCGCGCCGGGCCGCGCCGAATCCTCCCGCGACACGGCGCGCTTCAGCTCCACCGTGTTGCCGTCCACCGCGTGCGGCGACGCGGCCATGGCGGCGTCCGCCTCCTCCACGTTCGAGTAGGTGACGAAGCCGAAGCAGCGGGAGCGCTTCGTCTGGGGGTTCACCACCACCACGCAGTCCGTCAGCGTCCCGAAGGCCTCGAAGTGGCCGCGCAGCCCCGACTCGCTCGTCTGCACGTTCAGGCCGCCGATGAACAGCTTACAGAGCTGCGAGTTCTCCATGTCGGCCACCCGGGCCCTGCCCCCGCCCTGCGCGCTCCGCGGCGTCGCCGTCGCCGTTAGCGGTCGCCGAGGCCTCTGCCGTCAGAGCCCGGGCCCGGCCGCCGCCGTCGTCGCCGCCGCCGCCGCTGCCGGCGGGGAGAGGGGCGGGAGGGGGAGGGAAGGGGCGCGCTGGCGGCCCGAGGGCGAGCCGAGGACGCTGGAACCCCACCAGGGCAGCCGCGGCCGCCACCTCCGCTCCCCTGCCAGGGCACCACACAAAGAGGCCGCTGAAGGCGCGCGCACCCTCCCCGCGCGGCGCGTCACGCGCGACGTCGGGCCGCCGGCCAATCGGCTCCGCGCTCGCCTTCGTCCCGCCCCCCCGCGCCGCAGCGCCGCTCTAGGCCGCGGCCGCCCCGCCCTCCGCGGCCTCGTCCGGGCCTCGCGCCGCTGGGCGTCCGCCGGGCCTTCCGCCTCCGCGCTCGCGGTCGGCGCGAAGCCGCACGGCCCCGGGGCAGGCCCGCCCGAGCCCCCGGCGCGCAGCCGCCGAGCGTTTCCTCTCGGCCGCGCGGCTGTTCCCGCAGCCTCGCCTCCCTCCCCTCGCCGGAAGCCCCGGCCCGTCTCCGCAGTGGCCTTCGCGCCAGCCCCTTGAGGGACGTGTCCGGACAGCCAATCACCGCCGGGCTCTCGGACCCGCTTCCGTCTGCCGCGGGACGGGCGCGCTCCTCTTACGCGCTGGCCCGATGCCGCCTGTGCGGAGCCTGCTGCCGCCCGCAGGCCTCGTCCTCGCGCGCCCTCGCGGCGCTGCTGGCCGTTCCCAACGGATCTGCCCCGGGTCCCCGCGCGGGCTTTTTGAAACCTTGACTGTTGGGACGGGCCCGCGCCTGGCGTCGGCTCCCCTTCCGGGGCGCAAAGATGGAGGGCCGAGGCCTGCCCCGAAGGCGGTTACTGGCCGTTTAGGTGGGCTGGTGGCCCGGATAAACTAGCGTGGCTCAGGCCCCGTGCCAGAAGCGAGCCTGAGTGAAGTGACAACTCCAAAAGCCCTTCGGACCGGGACAGGGCCCGAGCCTCGGCCCGCGGTGGCCTTAGCGATGCTCTCTGCCCTGTCCCCTGCTGCAGGCTCCTGCAGACATGCTCCGTGCACGCCAGCCAGAGCTCGTTTGTTTAATCTGCCCCATCTATGCGCTGCGAGCCGGGCTTTATCTAGCCCCTGCTGGCCTCGAACTCGCGGGACATTAGCCTCCCAAGCGAAGAAGTTGAACATTTTTGCTCCTTGCCCACCGCCACCCCCGTTTGGGAATTAAACCCAGTTTCACTAGAACTGTGCCCCCAACGCTCACTTTCCTCCCCTTCGCCCCTGTTTCGATGCGCCCTGCCTCTCTCCACTGGGCTGCCAGCTTCATAAAAATGGACAGCTTCTAGCACATTACCCTTGTAACTAGATAATCCGTCACTGTACTAGGTGTCCACAGATAAGCGCTACCTACAGGAAGGCTAAAACATGGACATAACAGGAGCAGGAAACTCAAGGGAAGGAGCTGTTTTGGTGCCCAGATTCCTGTAACTGGAGTTAGAGGATTGTGTCACGTGGGTCCTGGGACTCAAACCCAGGGCCTCTGCTGCCAGTACTCTTCTGAGGTCTCTGTTTTTATGACATTTCTGATGACTTTCTCCCTTCCCTGACAAGTCATCTCCCATCTCTTCCTTATTCTCCCACACACACACTTTTTGGTTTTTTTTTGTTTGTTTGTTTGTTTTTGGGTTTTTTTTTTTTTTTTTTTTTTTTTTTTTTTTGGTTTTTCGAGACAGGGTTTCTCAGTGTAAGCCCTGGCTGTCTTGGAACTCACTCTGTAAACCAGGCAGACTCACAGAGATCCACCTGCCTCTGCCTCCCAAGTGCTGGCTTAAAGGCGTGCACCACCACCACCCAGCTAGCCAGGTTGATCTTTTGACTATTGGATTGGAACTAGACATTGGAGCCTGGTGGGGTCACCAGGGGCACACAAGGCAACAGTTCTCTCTTCTTGAATCTGTTCATAGCAAATAGGTCAAAAGTGAGACCAGGAACCCGCGAGCTCCTGTGTCATCCACGCCTGGCTGATGACGGCCCCTTCTTGTACAGACCTCTTAGAGGCCTCCATAGGTGTCAGTGTGTAGCTGTGGTGGCTGTGTGAGAAGATGGCATTTCCCTTCTATCTTCTGGCTCTTAGGTCCCCACACAGTGTTCCCTGAGCCTTAGAGGGCATTATGCCAGACTTTATTACAGGTCTCGGTAAACTCTAGAAGACCCGCCACTATTTCCTCCTAGACCAGAAGGGCAGCCATTGTAAGCCGGATGCTCAGGCTCACAAGGTGTGTCAGCTGAGAGACACCCCCGTATGTCACCCCAGTAAAGTTTCTCTCGTGACCTTTCCTTACTCTGTTCTAGTGGTGGCCGACCTGGTAACAGGATGAAGGGGGCAGCAGGCAGCAGCGACCCCTGAGCAGTTAGCGGGCTGGTCTTTGAGAGCGAGCCTGCCAGCTGCTCGCTGCTGAAGCCTCAGATCAGGGGACGGACGCTAGAGGGCGCCACCCACGGAGGCTCCCACCTGCGTGCTGCCCAGGCTTCTCAGCGACCCACAGTTCCTGTACTGTGTGGTGCCAAAGGAGCCTCCAGCCGGCTAACTGGCCACAGGTGGTAGAGATGTCGACCAGCAACAATCCTTATGTGAAAGCTTCACACCCCAGTAACCAAAGCTAGGAGACAAACTCAGAGTATCAAGGAGCTCCCTGGGCTCTGCTTGTCTTGAAGATGTCCACTGGAGTCTTAATGCCTTAGACCAGTGGTTCTCAACTCGTGGGTCATAACCCCTTTAGGGTTGCCTAAGACCATCAGAAAACAGATTTTACATTACAATTCATAACTGTGGAATAACAAGCTCAGGAAGTAAATAACTCAGTAACTTCAGGAAGTCCCACCCCATCCCCCCAGGTTCCCCAACATTCCTGCCACGCCCTAGGATGTATGGGCAGTGAGTTCTGCTGAGAGAAGAGACCAGCAGAACTGCCCCAGGAAGACAGTCTCCAGAACTGCCTGCACCTGCACGTTATGTGATGCGCTCCGTCTCCTGGCTTCCCTGAGCTGTCTCCCGTTCTGGGGTGGCCATTTGGTGATGCAGGTGTCGAGGCATGTCTGCTTCTATCAGTAACCCCAATAAAACTTACCGGTTCACTAAGTCGGACCCCAATAATATCTTGAATTTGGTTTGTTGTTGGTTCCTTGTGCAGGGTTTGGAGATGTCTTCTCAGAGGTAGCATCATGTGACACATATCATACGCCATTCTTTCCACTGAAGAAACCAAGGATACCACCACATTAAGTTGGCCAAACTCCATCATCATCTGTACCATCTGCTTTCTTGTACAAAAAGGGTTAAGCCAAGAATTACAATACTGGAAGTGGAATCAACCATGCCCACATCTTCATGAATTCCTTTGCTTTAAATATTTAAGAATCCAAGGAAGAGGCTGTCACTTCGATATCATTAATGTGCCTAGCTAACTGCATCTGAGGATAATCCTAGTGTTTCTGTCAATCATTAGCATAAACAACAGCAGTCCCATAAGGTTTTACCCCCTAGCGACTCTGGAGCTGTCAAGTATTAATTAGTGTGAGTAATCACGTGGTGTTTGCACACTGACATCACCTAATGAAGCGCTTCTTGGAAAGTTACACATCCCTGTGGCTTAGCAATGTGTGACTGGAGATGCAGAGGAAACACCTACTGCTTGACCCCAGTTTGAATCTTTGTATTTGATAAAGGAAAAATCAAAACACGGAGTATCAACCTTGGTGTTTCGTTTGTGAGTGGCAGAAGCCCTCTCCTCTATCTCTAGATTCCCAGAGAGTCAAGGCCAATTCCCAAGCTCACGTCACACCCAGCACAGTTTGCTTCTGCCACCTCTGTTGTTCATGGTGTTCCCCGAATCAGATGGTGTCCCATAAGTGGACAGCTTTTCCCAAAGGACAGAAAGAGATTGTGAGATCACCTGCTATGATGGTTAATCTTATTTATTTTTCAGACAGGGTCTCTTTACACAGCCCTAACTATTCTGGAACTCTCTACATAAATCAGGCCTTGAACTCACAGAGACCTGTCTGCTTCTCTGCTTCCCTAGATCTGCTAGGATTTAAGGTGTGCACCACCACACCCAACTATGGTGGTTAATCTTTATCATGAACTTGACTGGATTTAGAATGACCTAGGTAAGACTAGGTCATCTAGTCTGTGGGGATGTTTCTAGAAAAAAAGCTAACCAAGGAGTGAACTAACACCTTATTAGAGGGCAGCACCCACTCAGGGACTGGGAACTTGGATTGAATGATCCAGGCTAGCACCAGCTGAGCCCCAGCTTTCATCCCGACTCTCTCCTTTCTGACCTCAGAGGCCCTGTTGCCAGCTGTCTCTCGTTCTCCCTCCCGCCATGATGGAGACGGACTAGATCCCCTAAAACTGTGAGCCAAAATGAACCTCATCCCTCATTGCTAGGTCGTGTTCTGTCACGGGCACAATTAACTAACACAGCTACTGCAGCTCTTCCAGTCTGAGGACCGCTTTACAGCAAGCACTGTGGACGTGAAACTGAACCACTGCTTCATTTGGTGAATGGACCACGCTGATGTAGTTGGGGATTTTTGCTCTTGATTCTCATGTCAGCTTCAAGAGGCAAAACCCTAAGTATGGGGCATGGAAATGCAGGAAATGTCCAAGGTGTTGGAGGGAATCAGAACCCAGTGAAAAGTTTTGCCTCTCTCCTGGCCCCTCTAGGCTGAGTCCAGTTTGAGCCAGTTGTGGGGAAAGATACATGAGGTCATAATTGGGACTATAACCTGATAGGGCTAGAATATCCTTATGAAAGGAGAGATGTTGAGATCTCTACACTGGCAAGAAAAGAGGCCATGTGAGAACCCAGGGAAAGGTGGCCGTCTACAAACTCAGAAGAGGATTCACCAAACCACTTTCAGCACCGTCTCCGTCTCACGCCTCCAGAACTGTGAGAAAATTAATTTCTGTGGAAGAGTCCCATTCTGCAGGACTCACGCAGTGTATGAGCCGGGTGCCGGTGGCGCACGCCTTTAATCCCAGCACTCGGGAAGCAGAGGCAGGTGGATCTCTGAGTTTCGAGGCCAGCCTGGTGTACAGAAACGGGTTCCGGGTTCCTTTTGTTGGTTGTCCCCTATTCTTCTACCCTGAGGCTTCCCTTCTTTTTGTTTTGTTTTCCTTTAGTTTTGTTTTTCGAGACAGGGTTTCTCTGTAGCTTTGGAGCCTGTCCTGGAGCTAGCTCTTGAACTCACACAGCCTCTCCCTCTCAGCATCCTCTGATGCCTGCAGTTCTCTGTGTAGGGCTGAGGTCCGATGACTTAGGGAGATTCTTCTTAAAGACTGAAAACAGGGACTGAAGAGGTAGTGGTTGAGAGAACTGGCTGCTCTTCCAGAGGACCCAGGTTCAATACCCAGCAACCACATGGTAGCTCACACTCCAGTTTCAGGGGATTTGACAGCCTTGCAAAGACACACATGCAGGCAAAATGCTAATGTACATAAATTAAAAAAAAAAAAACAACTTGAAAACAGAGGCCAGCCGGGCGATGGTGGCGCACGACTTTAATCCCAGCACTCGGGAGGCAGAGGCAGGCGGATCTCTGTGAGTTCGAGACCAGCCTGGTCTACAAGAGCTAGTCCCAGGCCTGGAACCAAAAGCTACGGAGAAACCCTGTCTCGAAAATCCAAAAACAAAACAAAACAGAGTGGTCGGTGACATCCAGAGCAGAGCTGGCTGTCCAGACTCTGGCCCTTGAGCACCTCCTGCTGCCTCCTGAGCAGGAGGTGGGAGCCAGGGAGCTAGACGCCAGCCGCCAGCCTCAGCCAGGTTTGACTGGAGGATGAGGAAGCTGCTAAGGCACAGTGACCATAGAATGAGCAGGGGATATTCTGGGACTGCCCAAGACAGACAAGGAAATGAACTGAATTCAATCAAGACAAGAAGAAGCTTAAGCCATGGGGTGAAAGGGGCATCTAACTTCCTGAAATAAAACCTGACTTTGCATTTTGACTCTGATTGTTTGATTTCCCCTCTGCCTCCTCCTTTTGCACTTTATTTATTTTACATGTGTGTATGTGTGCGTGTGCACACTCACTCATTCACTTATGCATTTGCACATGGAGTCCAGAGGGTGTGTGGTGTTTTTTGAGGCAGAGTCTCTACTGGACTGAAGCTGGCCAAGTGGGTTAGATCGGATGGCAGGCAGGCCCCAGGGACCCACGTGTCTCTGCTTCCTGAACACCGGGATTACAAGCACACACCATCCCACCTGGCTTTTTTTAAACGTAGGTTTTTGGGGTTGAACTCGGGTCCTGGACTTACAAGGCATGCACTTTACTGACGGAGCCGTCTCCCTGCCCTGCAACGGAGTCTTTAAAGAGGCAACTAAAGTAGAATAAGGCCATTCGGATGGGCCTATATCAGTATTGCTAGTGTCCACGCAAGAAGGGGACAGTGGAATCCACGTGCTCATACTGGCGAGACTGCGGGGGAGGCATCAGGAGAAGGCAGCCACCTACAAGCCAAGGACGGCGAGGGGGATGACACCAACCACGCTGACAGCTGGATCTCAGACTTCTGAGATCCAAACTGGTGAGAAAATATAATTCTACTGTCAAGGTCCCCAAGCCTGTGAGACCATGCTCCCACAGAAGAGCTCTCACAGTGGCCACGGCCAGGGGCTCTGACCTTGTTCATGGACACCTGTCCATACAGCTCCTGTGGGTTTCCCAGGCCCATTGACTGAGGTAATGACACTTCATGATTTACCTGTAAATTCTGGTTCTTAATTGGTTTAATACATTTTATATATGTGTGTGGGTTGCATGCACATTTTGCCAGAAGAGGGTTCTGATCCCCTGGAACTGGAGTTTTTGTTGGTTGTGAGCCACTGTGTGGGTTCTCTGCTCCTTTGGAAGAGCGTCCATTGCTCTTAACTGCTGAGCCACCTCTCCAGGCCTTACCTGTGAATTTTTTTTTTTTTTTTGTCATGGGTTGTTTTTTTGAGACAGGGTTTCTCTGTGCAGCCCTGGCCATCTGGGAACTTGCTCTGTAGCCCAGACTGATCTTGAACTCAGAGATTTGCCTGCCTCTGCCTCCCAAGTATTGGTATTAAAGGTGTGCATCAATATTGCCCAGCTACCTGTGAATTCTTTAAAGAGTTATAGATTACATATATCCCTTAAAATTATATAAATCACTTAACATTGGGCTTTGAATATTATTGCTTTTATTTATACTTATATATTTACATTATCCCAAAACTGCTTTCATTTTAATAGTGCTGTTGCATAATCCAGTAAAAACATAAAAATGTTTTGAGTATCTCTTCCAACAAACTTTATGCTGAATATTTCATCTGCCAGAAAGGTGTGAAATAAAGTTTTAATCTTACCCATTCCTCCTGTCCAGCTTCTGGCTTCAGCATAGAGGATAATCGGGGGCTCACCAAGCTCATCTTTCTCCATGAGACAGACAACAGAGATACCCCATCTTGATCTGACTCCTGTCAACCTGACAAGAGTTGTGTCTCCTTCACCACACACATTGGAGCCCTGAAGAATCTGTTCTTCCTCATTTCCAAGCACACACTGGAGGGGGCGGGGTGGCTCGGGGTGGCCAGGGTACCCTTCTACCACAGGAATAAAGGAATACACGCTGAACAGAAAGCAAGGCCTGCCTGTGGAGCTGACCCGGTTCCTCACTTACAGTCAGACCTCGCGGATAATAAGCCTTTCGGGGACACTCAGGAGCTAAACGGTTTTTAGTTAAATGATTTTTATTATCACACTTCCAGTACATTATTAATATCAGAGAAACAGAAAAGCCTAACACCTTGTTCAACTCAAAGTAGAGCGGCGGAGGAAATGAAAATAGCAACACTTGAAGAGCAGCAATGTCCTGGTGCGGCGTCACGCGCTCTCCGAGGACAGAGTCCCCATGATGACACCTGCCACACCCCCAAACAGTGGGCAGCCGACTTACCTCAAATCCACGTTTCCCTTCTGCTCCGGATTCTAATTTCCGTCCCCTGTCGTCTGACACAGAGCAGAAAGCATTTTCGTTTGCCAGTGTTAACAACTGGATCCTCTGTCAATGACTAAAATTACACCAAATTCACTTTCATCTCTAACAATTTGCTCACGTCTACCACTTGTTGCTCATTCAATGACCTTTGGCACTCGATCAAAATCTGTAGTAGCGAAAGCTACATTTTACCTCAAGGCTCTGCTGGAGCAACCTCACCTGCTGTCAGGTCCCACTCGGTACCGTGACCCCTCCCTGCACCTCTCACTCCCCTCCCCTCTAAACTTCTCCAGCCCAGGGCTTCCCTCCCCTCCCCCAGCTTCTCTTCCCTGCATGGCGCAGTCATTTGGCTACTGCTCTCTTGGTTCCCAGACCCTCGTGTCCTCCTCTTCTCTTCCTCGCTGGCTGTCCCCGCCACTCTCTCCTCTGATGCCCGGTCAGTTCTGCTGCCATGTTCAGCTCAGGCTCTTCCAGAAGCCTCCGCTCTCTCCCTCCTATCTACAATGAAACCCTTCTTCTCAGCCATATTTAGGAGCAGGCATGTCCTCATTTTCTTTCTTTTGTTTTTGTTTTTTGAGACAGGGCTTCTCTCTGTAGCCCTGGCTGTCCTGGAACTCAGAGATCTGCCTGCCTCTGCCTCCCAAGTACTGGACCCAACCGGTCCTCAATTTTCATTCAACTGCAACATTCAAATTTTCTATGAAAAATAATCCTTCGTCCTCCAAAGCTGCAGAGAAACCCTGTCTCGAAAAAATAATCCTACATCTAGTCACCGTGTGACCATCCCTCCTGTCACTTTATATTGATCTTCGCTCTAAAATGTGGTGGACGGAGCAGGAGGCGGTTATGGTCACCCCGTCCACATCAGCAGCAGTGCACGCAGAGCTCCACAGTCACAGCTTTTCACGCGCAGCCGAGTCTCGCACCCTCTCACTCTGTTTCCTGTGTCCTCTTTCAATGACTAAAATTACATCTAATAAAATATTAGAAATGTTTATTTCTAATAATTTCTCAATCTCTGTCAGTCATTTGTTGTTCATTCAACAACCTCTGATACCTTGGGCACTCGAAGATTCCTTTATGAATAGCTCCTTGATTTCCTTTTAAGATATAAAATCTAGGGGGCTGGAGAGGTGACTCAGTGGTTAAGAGCACTGACTGCTCTTCCAGAGGTCTTGAGTTCATTTTCCAGTAACCACATGGTGGCTCACAACCATCTGCAATGAGGTCTGGCGCCCTCTTCTGGCCTTCAGGCATACATGCAAGCAGAACACTATGCATAATATATCTTTTTTTTTAAGATAGAACATCTATTTTTCTCTCACTATTACAGTCTTTTCTAAAAATTTATTTCATGTGTATGTGCTTTGCCCAAACGTGTGTCTATGCACTGTGTGTGTGTCTGGTGCCTGTGGAAGTCAGAAGTTGTTATGGCCCCTGGGACTGGAGTTACAGATGGTTGTGAGCCATCATGGGGTTGCTGGGAATTGAACTTGATCCCGTATGAAAGCAGTCAGTGCTCTTAACCTGGGGTGACATCCCTCCAGCCCTAATTTGACATAGTTTTAAACAGAAAAACAATGGAGAAAGTTTTAGGTTATAAAATTCAAAACAAATTATTTTTTAAATTATTTTGTCTAACTGGGTCAATGGACAGATATGTTCAGCAGCAACCAGTGGCGTCTGATTCCTACCATGCTGATGGTTCGAGGAATTGAGAAGAATGCCCAGAGCTGGGAATGGTGGGCACGCCCTTTAATCTCGTACTCAGGTGTAAGCATTCAGTTGATGAGTTCAAGGCTAGCCTGGTCTCCAGAACCCGCTCCAGCACAGACGGGGCTACACAGAGAAACCTTGTTGCAAAGAACGCTCAGCTTCCACACTCACTGTCTCAGATGATGGCACAGGCTGCATCCACTTGGAATCCAGAAACTGTTCTTGCCACTTCAACATCCAAAAACTGACTTCACATACCGTATTCTGGAGTTAAAACTAGGAAAAACGGGAGTTTATGTTTTGCCCAATTCCAGTGTCCCTCTGCCTGCCTCACCCTTCCCCGTGGTCTACACTACCCTTTGCCTGCCTCACCCTTCCCCATGGTCTACACTACCCTCCTTCCCCATCATTTATACTACCCTTTGTTGGGAAAAATTTTAGACCTAACTTAGAAAACAAAAATATCACTAAAGCATGAATCGAGTCTCTATTGTATCCTCTTTAAAAAACAAAATCAAGGGTTAGAGAGATGCCTGGCTGCTTTTCTAGAGGATCCAGGTTCATGTCCCAGCACCCATGTGGCAGCTTACAACTGTCTGTGAATCTAGCGCAGGGGACCTGATACCTCCAGACAGACTGATACCCCCAGACAGACATGCAGACAAAACGCCAATGCACATAAAAGGAAAAATAAATCATTTAAAAATTATTTTAAAAAACAAACACGAACGCAACAACAACAGCAAAAACCCAACAGGGTCTTAGCATATAGCCCAGGCTGGTCTAGAATCTGAAGAGCTCTGCCTGCCTCTGCATCCTGAGTCCTGGGATTGAAGGCATCGCTGGGTACATTTGCCCAATGATCCACTTAGATAAAGACCACCATGCCGCCATTCCTCTCTTTTTGCTGTTCTCTGAGCCCAGGCCCTTGTATGTACTAAGTAAATGTTTTACTATGAGCCACACTCCAGCCCTCAGCATGTCCTCTGGTCACTGTGTAGCCAAAGTCCATCTATCTACAGTGTAGTGGCTCACACCTTTAATCCCAGCACTTGGGAGGCAGAGGCAGGAGGATCTCTGTGAGTTCAAGGACAGCCTGGTCTCCAGAACTAGTCCCAGAACAGCCAGGGATACTTAGTGAGTCCCTGTCTCAAGAAAAAAAAAAAAAGAACAAAATCAGATATAAGGTTAGATACTTGGATGAGATTTTGTACAAGGCGCTAAAGTTGCAAGGTCTTGCTGCTGTTGACCTTGCGCCTGCTCAGCTCAGAGAGCCCTGGGGGAAAGAGCCTCTCTCCTCCTGGCCGTCATATAAACTAATTGTCCCTTCCTCTCCAACACTTTTAGGTTAGAGAAAATAAGAAAAACCAGGCCCTCTGAGGCAGTGTGAGCTTGCCTGGCATTGATTTCTGAGTATATAGCAAACCCCCTCTCATTTGTTTTCCTGTGGAAAATACACAATTAAAGACACACTGAATTTGAGCCAGGTGGTGGTGGTGCACGCCTTTAATCCCAGCACTCAGGAGGCAGACACAGGTGGATCTCTGTGAGTTTGAGGCCAGCCTGGTCTCTAGAGTGAGTTTCAGGACAGCCAGTGCTACACAGAGAAACCGTGTCTCGAAGGAAAAAAATAAGAGAGTTTTGTATTCTCCTAGTTCTCCTTAAACCCCCTCTCTCAACGTGACCAGAACTCTAGCGTCAGCCGGTCCCCGGGCAGTGTCCATTCCAAGGGCGGAGGTCTCAAGCTTCACACAGTCCAGAGTGCAGCAGCCCCACACCTTAGCACAACTACCCAGTGATGGAGTGCCCATCAGGCCGTAAAACTGGCATACAGACAGTACCATAACCCAAAACAAAGACAAAGACCTCATCCATCAACGCCCATAGTTCTGGGAAAGTCTCTAACGTACTAACCTTGCCTTTGGCTTCCATAGTTCTGCTTCTGCCTAACTGTTCTTGTTAACTGAGGTGTGTCAACCGAGAACATAGTTTTTGTGTTTAAAAGCTCTCTCTGAGAGAGGCTTGGTGATAAGCTGGGATCCCGAACACCTAGTGTAGCTGGCCAGCTAGTAAAGAGTTTCTGCTGGCTTAAACCCATGCCGTCTTTGGCGGATCCCCCACAACACACATTTAGGAAGAGTCCTCCTAACTTCGGTTCTGAGTGGCTCTTGACTGGTTACTGCAGGTCATTTTGTCCAAAACCTCACGGTCCATCACACAGAGGTGGCTGTACCACTTTTCAAACTCCACTCCCTCCTTCGGAGGCCCAGAAACTCGTGGCAAAGGGGCACCTTCCACCCTGCACCGCAAAGCTGCTCCACAGAGGGCCGGCTGCGTTTCTGGCCACTCAAAGGGGCCAGTCCTGGTCCCCACTCCTCAGGTCCCCGCTCCTCAGGGAGCCTTCCTTTGTCTAACAAACCACTCTTTGCAGTAAAGGCTTCACAGGGCCTGGCTTTTATCTCTTCCTATTTCTCTGGGGAAATCTCCCAAACCCCCACTGTCATCCCCACCCCCACCTCGCACAGTCAATTTAACAAGCTGAAGTTGTCAAAAATCAAAAAGCAGATACATGAACTGCTCTCTTTTTGCTCTGGCTCTGCTGATCAATGGCGGTACAAAAGAAAGCAGTAGACAGGGCTTTCCCAAAATACCGCAGGGAAATGGTGGGAACAAAAGGCAAATTAAAATTTTCAGAAAATAGCTATTTCAGGCAGTAGTGGTCCATACCTTTAAGCAGAAGAAAGTGGATCTCTGAGTTCAAGGCCATCCTGGTCTATAGTGGAAGTTCCAGTACCACCAGGGCTACACAGAGAAATCCTGTCTCTAAAACAATCAGAAAATAATCCCACCATGATTATTACTAGAGTCTTACTAGGAGCCATTTGGCTACGTGGTTGGAAAGGAGAGGCCTCGCTTCCTACGCTTGCCTTGCTGAGACTGCCTCCTAGAGACACATCTCTAGGAAAGTTTGGGGTTGAACTCTGAGGTCAAAAAGCATCTTGGGCAGTGTCAGATGTGTGTGCTAATGCTGTGCCCTTTGTGGTCAGCTTTAGGGCGGAAGTGATCACGTGACTAGTACGTCACTGAAAGGCCCCACTGTGGTAGCTGTCTTTCCTCTTGACCATCACCCACCCCACCAGCCCTACTCTCTGCCTATCTGGAACTGCTTGGTTGTAAACGGCATGCTTGTCCAAGCTCAACAGCTTTACACGGGTGCCTCTCTCGGCTTTAAGTAAAGTTCCATAGCCGTTTTAATGTCACGACTCACACAAATAAGGATAATACCCTTGACCTGGTGGTAGCTGTGGTGGCGCATGCCTTTAATCCCAGCACTTGGGAGGCAGAGGCAGGTGGATCTGAGTTCAAGGTCAGCCTGGTCTACAGAGTGAGTTCCTGGACAGTTAGGGATACACAGAGAAACCCTGCCTTGAAAAACTAAAAAGAAAAAAAACTTAAAAATCTGCAGCTGAAGAAAAGGCTAAGTAGGAAGGACCCACGTTGGGCTCCCAGAACTGTACCCCTATGGAGTGGTTCACAACCACACTCCAGCTTCAGGGACTCAACGCCCTCTTCTGGTCTATACATGCACTGCACTTATGCACACATACCCCCCCACCCCCACGCATGCACAAACATAATTAAAAGTAAATATTTATGTTGGGTGGTGATGGCACATGCCCTTAATCCCAGCACTTGGGAGGCAGAGGCAGGCAGATGTCAGTGAGTTTGGGGCCAGCCTGGTCTACCAAGAGAGTTCCAGGACAGCCAGGACTGTTACACAGAGAAACCCTGTCTCGAAAAAACAAAAACGAATAAATTATAAAAATGAAAATGAATGGCTTCTATTCAAATCTGGACAGTTGGGCAGATGCAAGAAAATCAGTAGCAGTCTCCTTCAGCCCTGTGGGGAAGAGGGGAGGATGCTGGGAACCAAGCTTGGGGAAGAAGACACGAGAAGTCACGATGAGTTCAAACACACTGGGATGGCAGGGGTAAAGGAATTTGCTGATGGTCTGGATGAGGGTGTAAGATAAAGCATGGTCAGGACTAGCTCATGCGGTCAGACGACCAACCACGGGGAGAGCAGGTTCGTTGTCTAAAGTGTGGAAGGCTCAGGAGGACAGCAGCATACTTATGGATTTTGTTTTGTTAATATTAAGTCTCTAATTAGACAATCAGAGTTCAGTAAGCAAATGGATGTACATAGATCAGGGATAAAGATCTAATTACACATAGCGCTTAAACACACAAGATAACATCACATAGCAAAAGCCTGTAATAGAGAAGCTGTCTCGAGACAAAGCCTGGGGTCATTCCAACATTTAGAAACTGAGAAAAAGAAATGGAGGAGGGGGACTGCAGAGATGGCTCAGTGGTTAAGAGCAGTGGCAGCTCTTCCAGAGGTTCTGAGTTCAGTTCCCAGCACCCACATAATGACTCACTGCTTCTATAATGGGATCTGATGCCCTCTTCTGGCATGCAGGTGTACCTGCGGCAGAGTACCATAGGCACATCAAAGAAATAAATATTAAAAGAAATGGAGGAGCCGGGCGAAGGTGGCGCACGCCTTTAATCCCACTTTAATCCCAGCACTCGGGAGGCAGAGGCAGGCAGATCTCTGTGAGTTCGAGACCAGCCTGGTCTACAGAGCTAGTGCCAGGACAGGCTCCAAAGCCACAGAGAAACCCTGTCTCGGAAAACAAAAAAAAAAAAAACAAAAAAAAAAAAAAAACAAAAACAAAAAAAAAAAAAAAAAAAAAAACAAAAACAAAACAAAAACAAAAACAAAGAAAGAAACAAAAAAAAACAAAGAAAGAAAGAAAGAAAAGAAAAAAAAAGAAATGGAGGAGGAATAGGAGGAGAAAGGGAAAGGGGGAAGAAGAAGAAGAAGAAGAGGAGGAGGAGGAGGAGGAAGTAAAAACACACACGGGCTAAGGAAGAGCAGCAGTTGAGACAGAAGACACACTCGGAGAGAATTATGACTTAGAAGTCAATACGAGGCAGTGTCTCAAGAACGAAGGGTGGAAGTGTGACCAGCAAGATGGCCCGGCAGGTAAGAGCACTGACTGCTCCTGCAGAAGCCCCAGGTTTGCTTCCCAGTATTCACGTAGCAGCTCATAGCCCTCTGACTCCAGATTCGCTGGATCCAGTGCCCTTGATGACCTCTGCAAACACTGCATGCATGTGGTGCACCTGCAGACACCCAGGATAAACACTCACACACATAACCAAGATTGTTAGGGCGAAAACGACAGCAACAAATGTTAGTGGTGCCTTGGAGAAATTATAAGGTTCATGCATTGTTTGGTGGGCATGTAAGTGGTACAGCCACTTTGTAAGACATTTTGATATTTTTTTTCAAATCTAGAAGTACCCTAAGATCTGGGGGCCAGGGAGATGGCTCAGAGGTGAAGGACACTGGCTGCTCTTCCAGAGGACCTGAGTTCCATTTCCAGCAACCACATGATGGCTCACAACCATCTGTAATGAGATCTGGTGCCCTCTTCTGCCATGCAGGCATACAGGCCAGCAGAACACTGTATGCATAATTAATAAAAAAAAATCTCGCACCCCCTTCTGGCCTCTGAGGGACCCAGGCACACAAGTGGGGCGCACACACTTAGACAACACACACACACACACACACACACACACACACACACACACACCACACCACTTTTAAGAAGCTTGTTCGGAAGACTGATTTTACCTCTGGGACTCAGTGAGGAAGCTTTGCTCCTTGGTGACTCATTCACGTGTCTCCAGCACCTTCTGTTGTCCTTAGAGCGGCTCTGGCTGCGGTCGCTGTAGGTGAAGCCTGTGGACTAAGGGAGAGTTCGAAAGTCTTGCTTTCTCAGGAAGAAGTTCACGTGGATGGACGGCAGCTCACGTCCAACTCGCACGCGCACCTGACTTCATTGCCAACATTACTGAGAGCCGCAGCTCCCAGTTATTAGACATTAACACAGCCCTAGCCGGGAAGGACAGCCTCCCGGGTGAAGGTCTTTACTGAGCCTGCCTGGCTGGTTCCCTCTGGGAGAGTCAGCGAGGCACCGGTGTGCGCCGAGCATTGGCCCAGCTGGGTTTAGTGAGAACCCCCTCCCCCTGCAGAGTTGGGGTTCTGTCACTTCCCGCACAAGACAACCACTGAAGCAGATTCGCTGTTTGCAAGGGTGGAAGGGGTCCAGTGGAACTGGCTTTCAGGAAAGTGGGGACAGAAGAGACCTGCGGCCAGAGAGTGAAATAGGAGAGAGCGGGAGGGAGGGAATGAGAGGGGGCGGGGGAGGCAGAGAAGGAGGGGAGGCAGAGAGGGGAGAGAGAAAGAGATCTTCCTGGCTCTACGTCCTTGTCTTTCATTGTTGTCTTTGTTAGTAAAATGTTTCTGTCACTGCCCACGCGTCCCCGTGGTCTTCTGGCTGCAGAGCGCCAGCACCTGGAAATGCCAGCATCTGCACCACCCCACGGTCGGCACAGGAGCCGGCGGGGGCGTGGCCGGTGACGTCAGGGGCCAGGCGGGACCTGTCCCGGAAGCGGGTGCCGAGGACCGAAGAACTGGGAGATGGAGGCACCCGCGGTGCTGCTGGTGATGGGTGTGAGCGGCTCCGGGAAGTAGGTCGCGGAGGCCGCAGGCGGGCGGGAACTGGGGGGCGGTGGGGCGCCCTGAGCCCTGGGAGCCCTGCCTTTGCCGCCCCTGCCGAGGTCTCCTGCTCTCCTGCCCCGCTAGCCGCTCCCCAGGGTCACCACGGATGAAAGCCGAGGTCCTGGTGGTCGTGGCTAGCTCCGGGGAATGAAGGTCGGGCGTAGGGAGGCTGCTGGAGTACAGAGAGGAGTTGTTACAGGAAAGACGCAGCCCGCCACAGCTTTTAGCTCCAGCCTTACAAACCTGGACCTCAGGCATCTTGCCGAGCAAGTGGGAGGGTGCAAAGTCCCAAACCAAGAGGCGAACCTTGTCCTGGGTCTGTAAAGCTCTGTCTGGTTGGGCAGATGGTTCCCCTCCTGGGTGAGTTTCCGGATTTTTCTGAATAGACATTGAAAAGTGAAGATCACCCTGCAAGGTATCACATCTTCCTTGATCGTGTTCCTGCTTAAGCTGGAATGTTCATATGGAACGTACCCAGGACTCTGCAAACTATGCAGTTTCTTCCCAGCCCGGTGCAGCCAGCTTAGAAGTAAGCCAGCAGTAGGCATTTCGTTTGATAGACACCGCACTGCACCGATATAACCCAGACACCAAACTGCAACACGCAACTACAGGCAACAAAATAGATGTTAACTGGTGAACCAGAGGTTCGTAGTCACACGTTGGGGCGCCCTTTGACCTTCAGTCAAGGTGGGGCGACCCACTTCTGTGGGCCCCCACACCAGTGACCTACCAGGAACTTTCCAAACGGTAAGGTAAGGTAGCTCTTTAAGATGAAAAATTTATTTTTATTGCGTGTATGTGTTTGGGCCCGCACCTGCACACACACACACGAGTGCAGATGCCCGCAGACGCATCTTAGCCTCTGCAGCTGGGCTCCAGGTCGGTCCTGGGAACTGATCTCAAGCGCTCTGCAAGAGCAGGATGCGCTCTTAACCAGCGAGACATCTCTCCAGCCCCAGAAGGTAGCTTTAGGCTTCCAAAATTACTGTTTTATCCCCACAGCAGGCGTTCTAATTTATTAATTATTTAGCAGTATTTAATTTGAGCTAGGATATTTATTTATTTATTTATTTATTTATTATGTATACAATATTCTATCTGTGTGCATGTCTGCAGACCAGAAGAGGGCACCAGACCTCATTACAGATGGCTGTGAGCCACCATGTGGTTGCTGGGAATTGAACTCAGGGCCTTTGGAAGAGCAGGCAACGCTCTTAACCACTGAGCCATCTCTCCAGCCCCCATTGAGCTAGGATTTTTGATATGCAACCGAGGCTGGCCTTTCAAAAGCAGCGATCTGCCTCAGTTTTCTAGGTGCTGAGATCACAGGCACAGTCCGCCATTCTCTGCTGTCAAGCCCTGCGTCCAGTCCCAGAAGCCACAAAACAGACTCACTGAGCCTGTTGTATAATTGGGAAGCCCGTTCTCTCTGTTCATTGCCTCTTCCCCTTTAGAGACCCTTTCTCTCTCACCCAGAACAGCACCTATCCCATAATAAGCGCTGATTGTCTTTGTCATGGAGACTGGAAGGATGAGCCGGAGAACATTAGTACTGTTTCCCTTTATTTTACATTGTAGCAAAGCCATCTCAGCTTCTGCTAGAATAAACTTAAATCTGAATTTCTTCAGTTCTTCCCTCTCCCCAACTGTCTTCTAAAGTGACTTTTAGCCCAACCTGCTGGGAGAGACATCTGGGCACTGAAGTTGGGCTGTAAGCTTAAATCCAGTCATTGCTTATGAGCCCCATGCTGCACCTTGTTCCTGCCGACATCCGTAGTCCCTTGTGCGTGAATGGGCATCCGGGTCCTCTAGTTTAGATCTGGATGGAGCAGGCACATGGGTTTTTTCCTTTCATAACTTAGCTCTTCTTTTAGACCAGAGTTGGTGGCTAGTGTTTATTCATAGTTAATCTAGGTTGATTGTAAGTGTATATAT